TAAACATATACTATCAACAATATAATCTTACTGTTTTTAAAACCGATGAAAGACCAATACAATTTTAATAACAAGTTCAAAAATAGATGAAAAAAATCAGGAAACTCTTCATTAATGGAAATACCTTTGGAGTGATTGAAAGAAATATTTTTTTTGTTTCATTTTTTTTGTTTGTTTTCTCCAGTTTCATTGGGTGTTTTGTGTGTGTTTGTTTTTATTTTTGTTTTGTGGCATATAACTTGAAATGCTGCCCAAACAGGTTCAATTATGTTGAACAGAGGATATTTTCACCTGCCAATAATGGAATTGCTTGCACATCAAGATGGGAAATGGGGAAACTCAAATTGCTTTGTATGATAAAGTGAGAAGAATCTAAACCGTTAAATAAGGACAGGGATCTGGGGGAGAGAGGAGGTGGGAGTCAGGGAGGTGAGGAATGGAAGGAGGACAGATAATAGCCCTCAGAGATACAGCAGTGCTAAACAAGTCAAGAGAAAACAAACACAAAGATATTTGTAAAATATTTGTGCGGAGATACACTATTCACTAATCACTCTCATTGTCACTCCTAAGGTATCTTTAGAAAAGCAACAATTTTTCTTTAATAAACATTGGATCTTCTAGACAAACTGTAGGGAAGCAGGGGTCTGTATCTGAGTGGTTCTGAAACACTTCTATATTTTTACATTTCAACCACAAACATATTTGTCTGCCCTTATATTTTTGTCATAAATATACATGTAGCATAAAATTTCCCATTATCACAATTTTTCAGTGGCATTAATTATATTCAGAATGTTGTGCAACCATCACCACTATCTGTTTCCAAAGATTTTTATCACCCCAAACAGAAACTCTGCACACATTAAGCAATAATTCCTCAATCCCTTCCTCCACCGTCTCCTGGTAACTTCTGATCTATTGCCAAAACAGTGTGATTTTGCTCCCCAGAAAATATTTGACAATGTCTTGAGACTCTGTTCATTGTCACAGTGAGGGAATAGGGACATGCTACTGTTATCTTATTCCTGCAGGTACCAGTATGCTCCATCTATTAGGATGCTGCTTCCTGAGGTCAAACCTTGAACTCTAACATTCAATCAGAGCCTTCCAAAGCTCCATCGTCATTCTCCCTATTAGCCCCAACAGAAAGAACATGACCCAGAGTCACCTCATAAAAGGGGATCAGTGGAAAAACTGTGTATACACTCTCTTATCCTACAGGCATACTGAATTTCCTAAATATTATCATCCCTAACTAGTAGATCACTGTGGGTGAGATTTAATCTGGAGCCTTCTGCCACACCCACATGGATGGTCTGTGAGATGAGTAAGATTCTGTGCCCTGTTGAAAAAAGGACTGATGACCAAGAATCAGTTGATAATCCCTTCCAGCAAACCATTAAAATATTTTTGCATTATTCAAAGATTAAAACAGTAGAAATTATGTTATCCTTTTAAAAATAAGTAGGCATTTATTTATAGTTATTGTTATATATCCATTTATCCATTTAACTGTAATCTATTTCAATTCCACTGAGGTTCGCCAAAAATCACCTTTCCTGGCTGGCCTCCTCTTTGTCATCCATCTCACTGAGTGCTTTGGCTTGTCCATTTCAGCCTCATCAAAGAAGGGAGACATCTTCAACTTCAGCTTGCCTATCAAGGAGTTGATAGAAATGGCTTTAGGTGTTCTTACTATAGTCAAAGTATCCTTGGAAAATTTTAAGGACAAACACTCAACTTCTCCTTAATAATTAGTAACCTGGAAAATCGCAATAAGGTCTTTTGTGTGGTCTAGGGACTTCAGTGAGCAAAGAATGCAATGCCACACACCACTCACATGCTGATTGAGCTAGATGCAGGACCCTCATGCTTTAAAAAACAGCCTCTTGATGGCATAATTCTTCATTTGGACACAGAGCCCCAGCCCAAGCCCCAGCTGCAGGCCTACCCATTACATTACTTCTAGCCCTAGAATGCTTGGCTACTAGTCTCCGCGTCTCATCCCCAGAGTAAGTTTACCTGGGCTGTGGAAGCTTCCCTGGTGTTGGGTTCTGATAGGAAAGCCAGAAAGAATAGGCTGTGCCAGTAGGAGCATCGTAAGCTTCAGGCTACAACGAAATCTAGAAAAGGCTTGTAGGTGTTTTTTTTTGTTTTTTGTTTTTTGTTTTTTTTTTTTGAGACAGAGTCTTGCTCTGTTGCCCAGGCTGGAGTGCAGTGGCCGGATCTCGGCTCACTGCAAGCTCCGCCTCTTGGGTTCAGGCCACTCTCCTACCTCAGCCTCCCGAGTAGCTGGGGCTACAGGCGCCCACCACCATGCCCGGCTAATTTTTTGTATTTTTTTTTTTAAGTAAAGACGGGGTTTCACCGTGTTAGCCAGGATGGTCTCGATCTCCTGACCTCGTGATCCACCCGCCTCGGCCTCCCAAAGTGCTGGGATTACAGGCATGATCCACCGTGCCTGGCCGGCTTGTAGTTTTAATAGCTGAGAAAGAGGTTGCTAGGTATCTCAAGGCAGGAAAGCATATCCGTGGACAGAAAGGACTGTAGAATAGCCACATCAGAGGGAAGGGTCACTGTGCCTAGTTCAGTGAATGGCCTGAGACAATTGGAAGCAAGACCTCGTTAGTCCTGCCACAGTACACACAGGTTCCTTTTCGAAAGGAAAAAGGGAAGCAAAGAAAAGGAGGTGTTTTCAGTGGCTTTGTCCTCAGAACAAAGGCAAGAGGCAGGAAGGTCTGTTGTAAACAGACGAATCAGTACCAGCCCCTGTGCTAAGTCCAGGCCCAGAGGAAATTGGGGCTGATATTGTAGACTCAGGATCCTGCAGCTCAGGGGCACATGCAAGGCTCTGACCTGATTTTAGAAGAATCATAGAGGCTTAGGCAGAGATACCTACCATGCCTGAACAGACGCAAGGAAAAACTCCATCTCCAGGCAGAGATTTTAAATGAGAATTCCTGATTTGACATGGCTCCCTCCTATCCAGATGAAAGAAAAGTTCAGAAAAGTACAGCATCACATTACCATCAATGATCAGAATGCAGGTTCTGAGGGCTAGAGTAATCTCAACAGGGACAAGGGCTTCTGAAACCATAAGATATGTTCCGTATGTAAATCACCAGATGCAATGATCAGCCCATCTGTCAGATTTACTCCTTTCCCACAATCTCCTGGTTTGCTTCTGCAGGAGCCAAGATCTCCAACCTTGGACTGGAGAAGCTGGGTTACTCAGGCTACTTTTCCCACTTGGCCAGGTTTTGTTTTGGGAGGTATTTTGCAAGTAAGTCTGAAATTCAGTAAGGAAAATCTCTAGCATCAAGATTTTTTTTTTTTTTTTCTAGAAAATGTAGAGATGACTCTGGAAGTTAACAGTGGTTGACTATTGTTTTTCATAGTTTTAAAGTCATTGAGATTTGTGCTAATTTGTTATACAGCAAACAACTATTACACCAAACACCCAAACAATTAAAACAAATCAAAACAAAACAACAGCTCATCCTTCTTCATTCCACAACTCCTCTACATTTTGTATTTGTTAGTATAATGGGAGATGCTTACTCAATTTATAATTCTTAAATAGTACTTTTTGAGTGGGCTATGAGTCAGCCTTCATTCATTCTGTTAAATTGTGTCCAGCATGAACCACATTTGACAGCTGATTTGATTTGGCTGTGTCATCCAAATCTCATCTTGAATTGTAGTTCCCATAATCCCCACATAACCTAGGAGGGACCTGATGGGAGGTAATTGAATCATGGGGTGGTTACCCTCATGCTGTTCTCGTGATAGTGATAGTAAGTGTGTTCTTACAAGATCCGATGATTTTTTTTTTTTTTTTTTGAGACGGAGTCTCGCTCTGTCGCCCAGGCTGGAGTGCAGTGGCGGGATCTAAGCTCACTGCAAGCTCCGCCTCCCGGGTTCATGCCATTCTCCTGCCTCAGCCTCAGGAGTAGCTGAGACTACAGGCACCCGCCACCTCGCCTGGCTAGCTTTTTGTATTTTTTAGTAGAGACGGGGTTTCACCGTGTTAGCCAGGATGGTCTCGATCTCCTGACCTCGTGATCCGCCCGTCTTGGCCTCCCAAAGTGCTGGGATTACAGGCTTAAGCCACCGCACCCGGCTGATCCAATGGTTTTATAAGGGGCTTTTCCCTCTTTGCTTGGCACTTCTCCTTGCTGCCACCATGTAAAGAAGAACGTGTTTGTTTCCCCTTCTACCATGATTGTAAGTTTTCTGAGACCTCCCCAGCCATGTTGAATTGTGAGTCAATTAAACTTCTTTCCTTTATAAATTACCCAGTCTCACGTATGTCTTTATTTGCAGCATGAGAACAGACTAATACAGCACCAATGCCTCAAAGTATTGACAGATTATTAATAGTTTTATATAGTAACTGTGAAATTCTTAGTTTTTCTCATTTTGCTCAAATTTGTTTGAATAGATTATTGAAGGTTTTAGGCTTTTAAGATGAACAGATGGTTGGACAATGTGCTAGAAGGTATTTGTCCCTGAGTAAAGGAAGAGTCATTCTTAAAGAACTTCAATTAATCCTGATATAACATTCATTTGTGTGTGTGTGTGTGTGTGTGTGTGTTTAGTGATAACACTTGAGGCCTACTGTCAGCAAATTTCACATGCCCAATACATTATTATTAACTGCAGTCACCATGCTGTTCATTAAGTCTCTAGTACTTATTCGTCTTATAATTAAAGGATTGCAGTATTTTACCAATATATTCCCTTTTCCTGAAGCCCAGACCCTGGTAACTATCACTCTACTCTCTGTTGCTATGAGCTTAGCATTTTGGTTTTTAGATTCTACATAAAAGTGAGATCTTGCAGTATTTGTCTTCCTGTTTCTGGCGTATTTTCACTTAGCATAATGTCTTCAAGGTTCATGCTAAGTTTGCAAATAGTGAAACTTCTTTTTAAGGCTGAATAATTATGTACTTTCATTGTATGTGTATACACACACATGTACACACACATTTATAGTGCTTACTTCGGCAGCACATGTACTAAAATTGGAAAAATACAGAGAAGATTAGCATGGCTCCTGAGCAAGAATGACACTAATTAGTGAAGCATTCCATATTTCTTTTTAAAAAATCTATTTAAAAAATTTTAAAGTATATGCAAAGCACATTTTCTTTATCCACCCATCTGTCGGCAGATAAACACTTAGATTGTTCTCCTATCTTGGCCATGTGAATAATGTTGCAATAAACATGGGAGTGCAGATATTTCCTCTAGATCCTGACTTTAATTTTTTTGGAATATACCCAGAAGTGAGATTACTGGATCATATGGCACTTCTATTTTAATTTTTTGAAAACTTCCGTACTGTTATTTTTTTTTATTTTAATTTCAATAGGTTTTTGGGGAACAAAGTAGGGTTTTTTGCTCTTCCTGGTACTGGCTGCCAGAATTATCACTTATAGAGAGGCAATGTGATGATTGTCAAACTATCACCCAATCGCCTGACATTCCTGGTAGGTGGTGGGGTAGGGAGCCCTCTTTTGCCCTGCTCATGCCTGACTACCTGTAACAGTTACATGGATAAGTTCTTCAGTGGTGATTTCTGAGACTTTGGTGTACCCATCACCTGAGTAGTGTATGCTGTACCCAGCGTATAGTCTTTTAGCCCTCATACCCCTTGCCACTGTTTCCCCTAAGTCCCCAAAGTCCATTGTATCATTCTTATGCCTTTGTGTCCTTATAGCTTAGCTCCCACTTATGAGTGAGAACATAAGATGTTTGGTTTTTCATCCCTGAGTTACTTCATTTAGAATAATGGTCTCAATTCAGTCCAGTTGCTGCAAATATCATTATTTTATTCCTTTTCATGGCTGAGTAGTATTCCATGGTGTGCGTGTGTGTGTGTGTGTGTGTGTGTGTGTGTGTGGCATTTTCTTTATCTACTCATTGATGGGCATTTGGGCTGGTTCTATATTTTTGCAATTGCAAATTGTGCTGCTATAAACATGCATGTGCCAGTACCTTTTTTGTATAATGACTTCTTTTCCACCTAGTAGTGGAATGGCTGGATCAAATGTTAACTCTACTTTTAGTTCTTAAAGGAATCTCCACACTGTTTTCCAGAGTGGTTGTACTAGTTTACATCCCCGCCAGCAATGTAAAAGTGTTCCCTTTTCACCACATCCATGCCAACATCTACTATTTTTTTTATTATGGCCACTCTTGCAGGAGTAACGTGGTATCACAGTGTGGTTTTGATTTGCATTGCCCTGATAATTAGTATACGTTTTTTAAATAATGGCTATACCAATTTACATTCCCACCAATAGTATATTAATACAAATGTTTCCTTTTTTCCATATCCTTACCAACAGGGATCTTTTATCCTTTTGATGATAGCCATCTTAGTAAGTGTGAGGTGATAACTCATTGTGTATTTTTGCATTTGCATTCTCATGATGATTAATGATATTGAGCATCTTTACATATGCCTGCTGGCCATTTGTATGTCTTCTTCTTTTTCTTTTTTTTTACCCTGATACAGAGTCTCATGCTGTCACCCAGCTAGAGTGCAGTGGCATGATCTCAGCTCACTGCAACCTCTTCCTTGTGGTAGAGGTTCTCCTGTCTCAGCCTCCCGGGTAGCTGGGATAACAGGTTTGCACCACCATACCTGGCTAATTTTTGTATTTTTAGTAGAGATTAGATTTTACCATGTTGGCAAGGCTGGTCTCAAACTCCTGGCCTCAAGGGATCTGCCTGCCTCAGCCTCCCAGTGTGCTGGGATTACAGACATGAGCCATCATGCCCGGCCTGTATGTTTTCTTTTGAGAAAGGTCTATTTAAGTCCTTTGCCCATTTATAATCAGTTTGTTTTCCTGTTCTTGAGTTGTGTAAGTTCCTTATTAACTCCTTATTGGAATCATGGCTTACAAATATTTTCTTTTGTTCTGTAGGTAACATTTTCATTTTGTTAATTGCTACTTTTGCTATGCAGAAACTTTTTAGTTTGATGTTTTCCCACTTACTTATTTTTGTTTGTGTTGTCTGATATTTTACTTTGGTATTCAAAATATTGCCAAAGACAATGTCAAGGAGCTTTTCTCCTATGTTTTCTTCTAGGAGTTTTAAGGTTTTAGACCTTATGTTTAATTCTTTAATCCATTTTGGGTTGATATTTGTATATAGTGTAAGAGAAGCATCCAATTTTATTTTATTTTTACATGTGGATTTCTAGTTTCCTCAACAATCATTTATTAAAAAGTTTCCTTTCCCTGTTGTATATTCTTGATGCCTTTATAAAAAGTTAGCTGACTATATTTGCAGGATTTTATTTCTGGGCTATCTATTCTGTTTTGTTGGCCAAGGTGCCTGATTTCATGCCAGTACCATACTATTTTGATGACTACAACTTTGTAGCAAATTTTAAAAATAATGTAGTGTGATACCTCATGCTTTGTTCTTTTTGCTTAAGATTGATTTGGCTATTTGGAGTCTTGTGGTTTATAGGAATTCTAGGATTGTATTTTCTATTTCTGTGTATTTTCATCAGGTAAACAAAAAAAAAAAAAAAAAAAAAACCTTTTAATGGTTTACTGACTGAGGACAATCTACCCCTTCACAATCTAGAACCTGAAGACTGAATCATCTGAGAACAACAGAGATAGTGTCCAGATATATAACCTTATATCTGGACAGATGAAAGATGAAGGTCCAATGTAGGTGAGAAACCTTAATGGTATCTACATTGTCACATAATTAGAAACAGAACATTGATTCACTCCTCCTAGCCCACATCATGGTTAAAGAGAACATTGCCAGGGGGCCTTCGCTCTTCTAGAAAGGCATCTAGAAGATGTTAGGTCCTTTTGTTAGGTCCTTTTCTTTCATGGTTTGGAGTTAAAAAAAAAAAAAAAAAAGCAATGATTAGAAATGTATCTCTCATTATATACTCTATTGCAGACTCTACTGTAAAGGCTATGGTTACACAATAGACTTTAAATTCTCTTTTGAAATAGAATTGCTATAGATTACATACTAGCTAAACAGAGAAGTATCCGAGGAGCTGCTGGCACTTGTGGCCTATGGAGAAATACATCAAATGTAGATTATAAAGATTCAGTTATAGATTAACAAAAAAACTGGAGTTAATTGAGTGGCCTCTTATCTAGTTCATTCTTTGATTTCTTTAATTTTAGGTGGTTTGGTTTATGGGGACCCTGGGTAAGAAGCATACACCAAACTCTTGGTATTATTCTCCTGATAGTCATAATAGTTTTCCTGGTACACTGTATTCTCTGAAACATTTTAAATGTTTGCATGTAGCCATCTCTAGAATGTCAAATGGTATCTCTTCAACTGGAATGACAAGAGCTGACAGACATGTGTGACCGTGGGCACACCATAAACTATGCATGATATGCTGAGACTGGAAACCCAAAATGGTGGTAAATGAAAGTGGCGTTAAGGCCTTAAGTTTTGGTCACAATCTCACCTAAATGAGATCGTAACCAACAGTGGGGAATTTTTAAACAAAATGATGGGAGACCATTGTTTTGTACTGAGCTCATGTACTAGGTCCTAACAGACCAGAGCAAATCAAAGTGGAGTCACTCATGCTAAATGTGGCATAATCAAGCTATGACTTTAACGAAACAAATAGATCCTAGAACAGACCTGGTGTTTTTTCTCCCGCAAAGAGGACATTACAGCATAAAGAAGTACCCTCTACTTTAATCCTTCCAAAAACAAAAAAATGAAATAACCTGAAGTCCTTACTTCTACCTTACAAAACCCACTGTTTTGCTATTTTCCAATGAGTTTCAAGGCCAAATAAGTACATTTATGATAGTGATAGTAACATCAATGTCTGAAGTTTTGGTCAATCTATCAAAATTGAGAAGATAACCAAAATGGGGGGAATTATTAAATCAGGTTTAGCCTAAACGTGTCTCCTTACGTGTTTAAATTAGGCCTAAAGGTTTTTCTGTACATCATGAACTATAACAAGGAAAGTGTAACCAGACCCGTAGCCGACACTTGTGTCAATCACCAAGTTTTGGCCAGTCAAATGTAGCCAACTGTGTTCAAATAAGAAACATCAATCCATAACAAATCCAGATGTTTCTGTGCCTCACTTGGATTTTCTGTATATCACCTTCCTTTTACTTTCCATAAATCATCTACCACATGGCTGTGTGGGGTCTCAGAGCCTATTCTGGCCCAGGAGGCTGCCCAATTTGCAAATCCTTCAAAGTTCAATTAAACTCCTTTAAATTTAATTTGGCTGAAGTTTTTCTTTTAACACCCCAAAATATTTCAATGGAAATAATTTAAATAATTTTTTAGAGACATAAAAATTATGTTATTGGGAAGACTTAACCAAACAAGACATCACTCAAAAAGGGACACAAGTTTAGGTTTTTCAACCTTTTCATCTCTATTGAGAGTGGTTTAGAATAATGAAGTGAAAGGGCTTGAAAAAAATAAAAACCTTATCAGTGCTATATTTTTTTCTTTGTGGGTTTCAAATTTCTGCTCTCAGGTATGGAGAAATTATATTGTTAAGTGCTAACATTTTCATTGGGAAAGCAGAAGTAAGGCCACATAACTTTTTCCCTTAGGGCCATTCGTATATACGCTAATGGGTGCATTTAGGAACAGAGTAATCATTGATTTAAAAAATAGCTGGTATTGATCTATGCCATAAATGTTCTCAAAGTTCATTTAAATAATCCATTACCTATTCTGGTTTATTCACATTTAGGGAATTCTATTTTAAATGGAACATTGGCCAATCATCTGATTTGATGCAGTTGCTTGTACCTCCCCAGAGAGGACATGGAACAATTGTCCTTTAGTCAAGGTACAGATGTTTCCCTGTAGTTTTTACACCCTCTGCAATAGCTCATGGGCTGGACCTACTGGCAATCAGCTTTTGATAAAAATGAGACTCATACAACCCCAAATACTTGGCTTCCACGACTACTACCTGTTTGCTTTGAACATGACAACTGAACAGGCCTTAATGCCTTCCCTTTAACATTAAAGCCATATAATCTGAACGTGTTTTTTTTTTTTTTTTAAACTTTCATAATAACTTCAGGGGTACAAGTACAGG